AAAAATGGAACAACTGTAATAGCATAATCAATAAAATAAACTTAAAAAAATAAATATGTACTCTTGTAATAAAAAAAAAAAATTTTAAAGGAACCCACGCACAGACTCACCTACTCAAACTCACTCCCTCTGAGCTCCAGCACCAGGGTAGCAGTTTGAAAGGCACCAGAAGCATACAGGGAGGAAGTGAAGTGTCTGGCACTCAGGAAAGCACTGGGGGACAGGTTTTTCACACCCAGAAAGGCAGGCAGAGGCCCGCAGAGCCACAGATTCAGCAGGCGGGTGCTATTTCTGAGACTCCATCAACCTGCTAACACTGTTTGCCCCACCCTGGAGATCCTCTGAGACTCTGTCCCACACAGTTTATGGGCTTACTCAAACTGTTAAGCATGACTTTTCCATATGAATGGCTGGTCTTGGCTCATGCTTCACAACTTCCTAAATCCTATCAAACTATAGGATTTAGTTTATAAATCACTGAGGGCCAGCCTCACTGAGAGCCCCCAGCCCCCATACTTCTTAGTAAGTGGCCCCTGGTCTGGCATTGACAGCAGGCAGCCTAGATTCCCAGCTTGGCTTCACCTGGGAATCTCCAAGCCCAGCACAAGTAGCAACCATCTCAGGTTGCTTGCTAGCTCATGCAGGGTGGCCCCAGGCAAAACACAGGTTGGGGCTGACCTTGGCCTGCACCACCCAGGAAACCGCAGAGCCTTTGCTCCCAGTGCATAGCTACAGACCACATTAGTGGTCACAGTCCTTGCACCTGATTGGCCTTGGTAAATCCCTCCCGCTGACCTGTCAACAGCAATCAAGGCTCAACTACAAGAGGAGAGTGTACTTAGCCCACATGAAGGGTGCACCTTGAGTACCCAGCTTGGGTGATAAGGGAGGCTGTGCCACTGGACCCTACAGGACACCTACTACATTAGGCCATGCTACCAAGACAGGGAGTCATAGCAGCTCTACTTAATACATAAAAACCAACACATGGAGGCTGCCAAAATGAGGAGAGAAAGAAACATGGCCCAAATGAAAAAATAGATCAAAACTCCAGAAAAAGAGCTAAACAAAATGGAGACAAGCAATCTATCAGATGCAGACTTCAAAATACTGGTTATAAGAATACTCAAGGAACTTACTGAGGACCTCAACTGCATAAAAAGATCCAGTCAGAAACAAAGGATTCACTAATTGAAATAAAGAACAATTTACAGAGAAACAACAGTACAGTGGATGAAGTCAATAACCAAATCAATGATTTGAAACATAAGGAAGCAAAAAAACAGCCAATCAGAACAACAAGAAAAAATATTTTTTTAAACAAAGATGGTGGAAGCAGCCTCTGGGACAACTTCAACAGTTCCAAAATTCTCATCATAGGGATGCCAGAAGGAGAAAAGAGAGAGCAAGAAATTGGAAATCTACCTGAAAAGGAAAGAAAGAAAACTTCCCTAATTTGGTGAAGGTAATAAACATGCAAGTCCAGGAACCACAGGGTCCCAGACAAGATGGATACAAGGAGGCCCACTCCAAGACACATCATAATTAAAATGCTGAAGTCTAAAGATAAAGAGATAATCTTAAAGGCAACAAGAGAAAAGCAGTTAGTTACCTACAGGAGAGTTCCCATAAGACTGTCAGCTGATTTGTTCAAAGAAACTTTGCAGGCTAGAAGGGATTGGCAAGAAATAGTCAAAGTCATGAAAAGCAGAGACCTAAAGCCAAGATTGCGCTACCCGGTGAGCTATCATTTAGAATCGAAGCGCAGACAAAAAGCTTCCCAGATTAAAAAAAAAATGTAAAGGAGTTCATCATCACCAAACCATCATTATATGAAATGTTAAAGGGACTTATTTAAGAAAAAGAAAAAGAGCAAAACTATGAACAGCCCTGGCTGGTGTGGCTCCATGGATTGAGCACCAGCCTGCAAACCAAAGGATTGCTGGTTCAATTCCCAGTCAAAGCACAGGCCTGGGATGTGGGCCAGGTCCCCAGTTGGGGCATGAGAGACAACCACACATTGATGTTTCTCTCCCTCTCTTTCTCCCTCCCTTTCTCTAAGAATAAATAAATATTTTTAAGTTGTGAACAATAAAATGGCAAAAAATACAAACGTATCAACAACTGAATCTAAAAAACAAACTAAGCAAATAAGAACAGAGGCAGAATCATGAATACAGAGAGTGTTTTGATGGTTGCCACATGGGAGGGACATGTGGGACGATGGGTAAAGAGGTGAGGGGATTAAGAAGTACAAATAGGTAGTTACAGAATAGCCGTGGGGATGTACAGTACGGTACAGGAAATGGAGAGCCAAAGGACTTATAAGCATGGCCATGGACATGAACAATCATGTGGGGATTGCCTGAGGGAGCAAAAGGGGGGGAATCGGGACAACTGTAATAGCATAATCAGTAAAATATAGTAAAAGTAAATGAAAAATATTTTGAACAATATCTTTATTAGATAATAAGTTTTAAAGCAAAAAGCCTTACAGAAGGTGCATGGTTATGGTGAAAATTTATGGCCCCTTCCAGACTTATAGAGTGAAATGAAAGTGTTAGCGCTTTGGGGTTACAAAGTAAGTAACCCTTGGCACCACTCCTCCTCCCGAGGGATAGCACCAGAGTTAATGGGCTTTCCTGTAATGATTTCCAATTAACAGCAAACCCAGGCTTGGACAAATTACTTGCACTGGACCTCCGCCCTGCAGATAAACTCTGGCACCTGGAGCTGCCCTGGCAGAGCTAGCAGGTGACTGAGTACTTGGCATGGGTGGGGAGATGTTCAAGCAGAAATACTTGCAGTGATGGGAAGTCAGGGACTCAGTAAGGCAAGCTCAGTTGGCTGGAGAGGGAGGATTCCAAGTTCTGGGGCACCCCCTGCCCCAAAAGAAAAAGTAAAGCAAGGGCCTTAAGTTCCTCTGGGCTACAGCGGACAATGACAGAACAAGGCCTTGAAAGTTTGACTGAAGTTTAACAGTATAGTTTTCTTTTGTGTAGCACTTGGTTAGCCAACATGTCACTCTCTCCCCACATCACTTATCCAAAAACAGTGCAATAGGGTGTGAAGCACAGTATCCGTTATCCATTCTACAGATGGGAAAATACAGGTACAAGAAGGTTAAAAGACTGGCCAGTGATTACACATGGAGAGAAGAGGTGAGGCCCAAAACATACTCCCCATCTCTGACTCCTGGTCTTCCCTTATTTTCCCACCTCCCCACCCATCAATTGTAGCCTTCCCTCTTTTAGCTCTGACCTACTGAGAGGAGAGTTCCTGAGGCTAGACAAGCAAGAAGCAGGCAAAGAATCCCAGAATCAGAATCAGGGGTGGGACTGGGGTGGCAGGGGTGAGCTATGAGACCATCTATCCCAACAGTTTTCTACCCTGACTACACACTAGAATTACCTGGAGAGCTTAAGTAAGTTAAGTAAATACCTCTGCACTGGCATCTCCAGTGTTTTTAAAACTCTCTAGTTAACTCTGATGCAACCTTGGGAGACAACCACCGAATGAGAGCTCGAATCACCCCCGCCCCAATCCTACGTTCTCCCTGCTGCCTGCCTTGGGTTTCCACCAACAGGTCTGTACTCAATCCTTTGGCCCCAAACATACTGCTCATCTCTCTTCCACATTATGCAGTGTCAGAGACCTGGATTGGGAGCTGGGCTCACTAGCTTTCCAGATGGGTAAGTCATTTAACAGCTCTGAGGCCCCTAGTAGGCAAGTGACTTGCCTAAGATCTCCTAGAGCAAGTGGAATCTGGATCCCTCCACCACTCGGCAAGGTCACATCTGCAGAGGGTCACATGGAAAGCCAGGCCTGACGGCAGATCTAGCATTTCCTGCTGAGAGAAGAGACCCAACAGGAGACTGAGGAGGAGACCAGGACTGTGTGTGTGTTTAGGAGGAATGGGTGTCAGTCACTCCTTCTCCCCTTTCTGGGGAAGTCTGCCCTTGGCTTACTGGAGGCAGGGGCCTATTCTACAGCGGCAGGGCTGAAACTGGACTGTAGAAAGATGTCCCTTTTTCTAGGTGGGGGTCAGCCTAGTCTGAAATATCCATGAGGAAATCCAGTCTCTTGGGGCAGTTTACCAGGAGGACCCAGTTTCCCCGCCCACAATAATAAAAAAGGCTCACACTTCATAAGTGCTTCACTGGTCCCTGTGCTAAGCCCTGCACTTGGCCTACCTCATTTAATCTCCACAACCATCCTAAAAGTTCAGCATAATTACTGTCTCCCTTTGCAAATGAGGTAACTATGGCCTAGAGAATTGAGGTAACTTCCACAAGATTAGTCAGCTAGAAAGCGGTATTGGCAGAATTTGAAGGCTGGTTCATGTCCAACTACCACCACCCTGCCCAGCAACAAGACAGCAGAGGAAGAAAAGCCACTGGGCACGGAAGTAGTTACTGAGTACCTAGGGGTGACCAGAGACCTCCCCAGATGCGGTCTGGTGGATTCCTCCCAACCACTCCGTGGACCAGTGTGGACAAGGCGCTCTCATCTTCCTGGTACATCCTCCTTCCACTCAAGAGGAAACCAAGAACCGCGGGGAAACATGTTGCTCAAGGGCATCAGCAAGTACATACTGAGGACAGCACTGGGAGGGAGTCCACCACAAAGCCTGACCACGTGTCTCCTCCACAGGCTGCTAGAGGGGTAAACTCCGTAATACCCAGCAGTCTGAGTGGGCGCGGCAGACGCAGGAATCAAGGCCTACCGCATGAGCCCTATGCGCAGCGGATTGGTGGTCAAGAGCACGCAGGTGAGCTCCTTCGGTGTAGCCAAGTAACTCTAACGCTCCTGACCAGGCTGCAGAAACACAGGCTGAGCTAGGTCGTCAGGGTTCCCAGGAAGAGTGAGACGAGGAGCCAGGCGTGCACGCCCGTGCCCTCCCAGGAGCAGCCACATCTGGACCTAACCCCGGACTTGGCATGAGGCGGTCAGGGAGTGTGACCCCATCTCCATCCCCAGGCACTACTGGAGTCACTCACCCAGAACACCGTAGAGTAAATGACGAGCGAGAACTTGAGCCAGAGGTAGGAGAGGCGCGCGCAGTAGCGCACCTGCTCCGAGTCCCCGCGCGGCATCCTGGGCACACCAGGCGCGGGGCTCCGGGGCTCCCGGGCTCCCGGGCTCGGTCCCTGGCAGCTAGCAGCCCCACCTGCGGCTGCCTACCCCGCTGCCCGCCCCGCTGCCGCTCCTTCGGGACTGACACAGCCAAGCCGCAATAACAGCCCAGGCAGCGGCGGGACCGGCTTGCCCCAGCAGCCAATGGGCTCGAAGCACCCGCCCTGCCTCTGGGAGGGGGTGGGCTGGGGGCGGGGCTACAGCCTAAGACCAAAAGAAAGAATAGGGAACCAGCGGACAGGAGAGGGCGAGGTTTTCGCAGAAGAGTTCGTTTGCAACCCTGGAAACGCTTCTATTAATGGGGCGTGACAGAATATGTACAGAGAAACCGCAGGAAAAGATTGAGCGTGCCTAATCCGGGGTAGATAGTAATGCACGTTTTCCACTGTTGTCAAGAGAAAAGAGATTATGGGAAAAGGGCAAAACCTAACCGCTAAGGTGCTAAAATGTGCAGGATGGAACTGGAATAAGGAAGTGGAGTTTCTCAGCCTGAGGACGATGGAGTGCCCCATCTAGGAAGGTGCTGTGCAGCAGACCAGGGTAGGGCTAAGGGGCCCCACAGAATTGGGGTCCCGAGTTTCCTTTTGTAACAGACCCCGTTTACCCACCCGGTCTCCGGGTATCCCTTTCTCAGTGGCCATGGGAAATCCCAACCCTGCTCTCAGGGGCCTTCTTCTCTGGGAAACCCTTCTCCATGCTCATCCTCAGGCCAGGTTAGAGTCCCCTTCTTTGCACGCAGTCAGCCCAGGTCTGACCCAGCCTCGTCTCTCCAGGCCCCTCCTCTCCCTGGTGCCAGGCCTGGCTGTGAGTGCTCTCCCACGGCTAGATGGCCCCAGCTAGTCAGCTTTCCTTGCTTCTCAGGCCTAGCTCAGTCTGGGGCTTGGGAGTCAGTATTTGACTGTGGCTTTGATAATTAAGTGTGTTGGCCAGAGGTCATGAGCTCAAGGCAGTGCTGGGTGGGGTCCCTGGTGGTGATTGGAGGAATGGCACTCTTGTCCAGGTCCCTTGTCCTGGACTCCCAAGCGTCCTGTACACCCAGACTCCCAGAGAGAGACAGACACTAGCCAGCCCAGCCCCCTGGGCTCTGCTCTAGAAGGGAGAAAGTAAGACTGGGTGTGGGGAGGTAGCGATGCTCTGCCCTGCAGTGTTAAAGGGAAGTCAAGTTTCTTCTTAGAAAAGGAGCAGGCCCTGCAAGTGTGTTTACTTTGGGTAGAGACATGGAACCTTCAGATGAATAACTGAGGTCCAAGAAAACATCTTACCACAGTGTTAATAGTTGTCCTTTCTGTCCTTTGAAGAGGAGGGAACTAATTCCTTATCCCTCTCTGGGGGACTAGCTTCCCTCACCAAGCTCTGCAAGACTAGTCTTACACCCCATCCTCCTCCCCTGGCTCCCCACCCCCACCCCCAGAGCTAGTTCAGCACCTTGTCCTATGAGGAATTAATCTGTCTCCCTCTCCTTGCAGGTTAGCTTCCCAGCCTACACCCCCCCCACACACACACACATCTGAGACCCTGCAAGATGCCCTAAGAAATGAAGCTGAGACACCCCTGCAGAGAACCTGGAGCTCTTTGGGGCTGGCACAGCCTGCCCTGGGCTACTGGGCTTCTTCATTGTCCCTCCCCACCCACAACCTGAACCCCAAGTGCTGAGGGCTGCCCCTCAGCCATATTTGCAAACACTTGAGACCTCAGAAGTGGCGGTCTATTTTCAACTTTTCCCTCCTTGTGCCAGGAGCTCTGAATTAGGGATCGGCAGGTCTGGTGCCAATCCTGGTTTTGCCATTAACTTTTTTTTAGATTTTATTTATTTATTTTTAGAGAGAGGGAAAGAGAGGGAGAAAGAGAGGAAGAGAAACATCAATGTGTGGTTGCCTCTCGCATGCCCCCTACTGGAAATCTGGCTGGCAACCCAGGCATGTGCCCTGACTGGGAATCGAACCAGTGACCCTGTGGTTTGTGAGCTGGCACTCAATCCACTGAGCCACACCAACCAGGGCTGCCATTAACTTTTTTTGAAACTGTTAAAATATGTGACATACAGGTGTAAGTGTAACCCTGGCTGCAGATTAGAACTACCTGGTGAGATTTACATGTGTCCTGATTAGGGTCTCCTAACCAATCAAGTCAGAATCTGCAACTACAGGGACCTGGAACTCAGCAGCCCTGTAAAAGCTGGGTACTTTCTGAAGTGCAGCCAGGATGGAGCATCACTGGGGTGGGGTGGGGTAGGATAGTCATGAAGGTGAGGAGGTCAGCCAACATCATATCTGAAAGGCCACACTTCAGAGGTTCCTCAGCCTATCCGGTGGTATGCTGGTAAATGTTTAATAACTGTCTTTCCACAGGGGAGGACCCTGTCACCAATTTCCATAGTGTAAATACTTCCACATTACCAACTGGAAGTCAATGACCCTGGGAGTTAGAGAAACATACACAATCACACACAATCAGCGCAGCAGCCTGTGAAGCTCTCCTAGCCTCAATCCACTCGCCACCCCCACCCCCAAGTTTTACTGATTAGCATAGAGAATGCCATCATGAAGGTATCAATGAAATTCATGGCTTATTAATTAGCATGGCAGGAATTACAAATGAGCTCTTCTCTGGTGAAGTTAGTAGTATTCAAGATATGTAGATTGGCTAAAATGGTTTGGGTTACCACCCATTCCTTGTTCAGAGTACAAGAATCTCCCTTAGGGGTGATGCACTGGTCTGAATCTTTGAAGGGTCCCACGTCGGAAGTATTCTGGTTGCAGATGCGAGCATTGATCTAGCTGAATTCTGCCTCAAATTCTGTATCTTCCTTGAGTGTACCTTTCATGCAAGGTGGTCAAGCACCTGAAAGGACAGGGGCTTCAGTGACATTACAGAACAGATTATATGAACCAGTTTTTTGGCTACTTTCTAAGTAAATGTTTGTTGTATAAATATTTGTATGGATGACAGAATTTGTTCTGAGATCTGTTTCCGTGATAACTAGGCAGGGAGCTTGTAGGTGGAAATAAGTAACCCTCACTTTTAGTGGCCACTACTGTTTATGGAAAAGAAACTCAGGATTGTGCATGACCAACTTGGTTTGCACAAGTCTGCATTTATGCCGCTGGAAAGTGACGGTGCCTGTGCCTCTGTTTCCCCACGTGTGGAACCATGAGGTTAGATTGTTTCCCTTCTAGCTCTAACAGTCTTAGCTGTAGTCCTCACAGTCAAGTCGGTCAAAAAATGGTACTGAGCTCCACTGTGTCAGGCCCTGCCCCAGGCTCTGGGCACACAGCTGTAAACAGCAGGGACAAGAGCATCTATTCTCTTCTGTTCAGGAGTGTGGAGTTGTGGGGACATGCAACACACATGAAACATACATGAAAAGGGGAATCTCAGGTACTGACATGTGCTGAAGAACTTGGAGAAGAGCTTTCACGTGGAAGAAGCAGAGGTAGTGGGAAGGCCATGAGAGGGGATAAACTTGGAGAGGTCCCTGGGGCTCGCACAAGACATACAGGGAGAGTAGAAGGAGGCAAGGTCAGAGGCACAGGCAGAAGCCTTGTAGCTTCAATAAACAGTGTGGATTTACTTATTTGCAGTTTCAGTGAAAGAGTCTCTGGTAGGTTTTAAGCAGGGACCTGATACGGAATCTGATTTCTGCTTCAGAAGACTGCTGCATGAAGGGTAGACAAGAGGGGCCTGGGGCCGGGACATGAGGAAAGCTGGTTAGGAAGCCATTGCAGCAGTTCCAGAGTAAGAAGGCTGTGGCTTGGACCAGCACTGGAAATGGTGACAAGAGGTTGCATTGGGGATGTATCTTGGAGATAGAGCCAACAGGGCTTACTGATAGATTGGGAATAAAATGTGAGGGAAAGAGAAATCAAAGATGATCCCATGTGTTTTCACCTTGAGCAACTAAGTAGATGCTGCTGTCATTGACAAAGGTGAGGAAGATCAGGAAAAGAAGGGGTTAGAGGAGATTGGGTAAAAAATTACTTTGGCCATTTACTTTTTTTGAGATAGCTCTTCAGAATCCAACTGGATTTGATCAGGAAACTCAGAGATGAGATATAGGTTGGATGATATAAATTTGAGAGTCATCAGATCAATTTAAACCATGGTTCTACATGAGGTCATCTAGGGAACAAAGTAGCAAGAGAAGAGAAGACAAGGACAAACCCTGGGGTCCTCCAGCACTGAGAGAATGAGAGGCTGGCAAAGAAAACAGACAAAATACAGCTGGGGAGGTAGAAGGATGATGAGGCCAGTAAAGTGACAGGGATGTCTGGAGAAGAAAGAACTTCATGAAGTTAAAAGACACCATGCCTGGTACGGCTCAGTGGATTGGGTGTCTTCCCCAAAACTGAAAAGTCACCAGTTTGATTCCCAGTCAGAGCACATGCCTGGGTTGCAGGACAGGTCCCAGCTTGGGGGCATTTAAGAGGCAACTAATTGATGTTTCTCTCCCTCCCTTCTCCTCTCTCTCTAAATATAAATAAATAAAATATTTTTTAAAAGTTAAAAGAGATGTGCAATAGGACTTAGTGTCCTCAGAACTCCTCTTAATGCATCGAGGCTTTAATTATGCCCTGTGAGGTCGAGTGGGAATAGAACAGAAAACTGACCATCAGCTGTAAAGATGTGGGTCATGGATGACTTTGATAATAGTCTTTTCATGATGCAATGGAGACAAAAGCTAATTGAAGTGGATGGAGGAGAGAAAGGGAGGAGAAGAAATGGAAGAGGAAAGTACAGATAACACAGGAAATGCACACTCCCAGGCAGGTACAGGAAACCATTCACCTGGGAGGGAGTACACGAAATTCTTCCCAACCCACCAAATATCCTCTAAGGCCAAATAGGTTTGCCTCTAGGTTGGAGAATTTAAATAGCCAGGAATTCTATGCAGCTTCTCCATTGTTAAAGAACAAAATTTGAACTTCTGGCCAAGATGGAAGCATAGGTAGAAAATGCTTTGCTTCCTCACACAGCCAAAAGAAAGACAACAACAAATTTAAAAATAAAAAACAACCACAACTGCTAGAAAATCAAACCGTATGGGAGTCCAACAACCAAGCAGTTAAAGAAGAAACATTCCATTGGTAGGAGG